GTTTCTTAGCTTCTCTTCGGCACTCCAAGTCCAGTCTATTAGGAACTTCTATTTTCTATGAATTAAATGCATGTAATTTGAGTACAATCGCTTCTTCTATCTTCACTGCGACTCTGCTAGATGGATGTCTTCATCTCTCCCCTGCATTATTACAATAGCCTCCTAACTGACCTTCTTGTTTTTCACCTTGTTGCAAAATATGTCATATCCTGCACTTCTCTGCTCAAAACTCTCTTATTTCATTCAAAGTTAGAGCAAGTTGCTGATGAGGCGCTTCGCAGTCGGGTCCTAATTCTGTCCAACTTGCCCTCCATCTTCTCTTTCCTCTTGCTCCTCCTCTCCAACCACACTGATTTTTCCAACTTAATTGGACGTTCTGATCACACACTTGTCTGAGGCCCCCTTGCTCTTTCTGTCCTCTCTTCCTAGAATCCCATTTGCTCCGATAAGCTGCCAGGTTGCTTCCTTACTTTCTCAGCCTCTGATTAGATGTTACCTTTTCAATTTCTGATCTTCACCTTTTCTGACCACTCTATTTAAATTAGCAATTTCACGCCCCATTTCTGGCACTTCTGCCTGCTCCTGCTTTATTTTCCTCCATAGTGCATGTGCACACGTGCATGCACATGGACACACATACACATGGTATTTATATGATGTATATAAAATATACACAAGAGATTATATATATATATATATATATATATATATTCCACTAGCGAAAGTACTACTCACTTGTGCAAACCAAGGTCAATTCAGTAGGGAGAAAGGTTAAGAAGGGAGAAGAAAATGCATGGTTAGCATGCCTGTCACTGGAGCTATGGAAGTAAGAAAGAGAAGCTATATAAGAGTAGAGATTTTTTTTTTTGGTCTTTTTCTCATTTGTTTATCCACACTATCAGTTACATATAAAGTGTTAAATATTTGTTAAACCAAAAAACAAATACCCAGATTTCTCTTCCAAGCTCACAAATAAGAGGAGTGAGGGGTGTGTGTGTGTGTGTCTCCAATAAAAGCCAAGCCCAAAGCTTGGAGAGAATATTATTTAGCTGAATTGCCAGAGCTGAAGATTGATGTTAACCAGCAAACTCAAGTCCCCTTGGCTATTTCATTTCCTGGAACGCTGAACCCCACCAAATTTCTAAGCCAGTCGTGGCTATAGCATGGAGTAACTATAAGCTAGCTCATGAGTCAGAGACTTGAATTTGTCTTGCTGCCACGGATCCAATAACATGCATGCTGATTGTGTAGGCATTTTTTCCTCCTTTCCCAACCCTTCTCCCTGCTGAATTAACTTGGTTTAAACAACTGAGTACCCGTCTCTGCTTCCATACTATACATTTCACCTTTCTGAGAATGGAATTCCCTAATCCTTAACTTGCTTGGCAAAGCTTTTGATTCCAACCCGCTCACAGATTTCAATTCTCTGGATTTTCATTCTCCTATTAAAGGTCAGATGGTTTGAAGTGTGGTCCAGATTTTCACTTGACTATGAGTTCTACATCCTGCTTAGAATCTTGGTTTAAATTATCTTCACCTGCCCTATTGGATTGTCTCAGTTACTGACACATTTTAAACCAAACACCTTTGGCCATGTCCCTTTGAATATCGTGTTCTGGAATTCAGACTTCCTCCAGAAGAACAGTCAGGGTTATTGTGAGGCTAAAAAAACAGATGACAGGCTGGGCTCGGTGGCTCATGCCTGTAATCCCAGCACTTTGGGAGGCTGAGGCAGGCAAGTCACGAGGTCCAGAGATATAAAACCATCCTGGCTAATACAGTGAAACCCTGTCTCTACTAAAAATACAAAAAATTAGCCAGGGGTGGTGGTGGGTGCCTGTATTCCCACTACTCGGGAGGCTGAGGCAGAAGAATTGCTTGAACCCGGGAGGCAGAGGATGCAGTGAACCAAGATTGCACACTGCACTCCAGCCTGGGCAAGAGAGCTAGACTCCGCCTCAAAAAAAACAAACAACAACAACAACAACAAAAAAAAACAGATGACAGAGATGACAATGAATTAGGGAAACAGAAAATAGGGAACCAGGATAACAGGACAGGTGATCAAAATGAGACTTGGGGGAGGGCCTGATGAATTGGGCCAGTAACAACTGGATACTTAGATACCTCTGTTCACTAGTCCTACATGCATCTTAAGCACAATGTATCAGAACGTCTCCCATGCATACTTCTTAGACTTTGATAAACTTACTTCTCTGTCTTTAGTTTCATTTACAACCTATTTAATTTTCCAAAGTAGAAACCTAAGATAATTAATGGTTTACTCTCTTTCTTTTACCTTCAACTGTTAATCAGTGCTTGTGGGTCTAAGCACTGCTCTCCCTCTGCCGTTTGTTTTTGCAGTTCTTAAGCCCCACGTACATACCCTGTAGACTCAAGATGCAAACATTATAAATACGAGTTATGTCAACGGCAATTTAGATGTGTGCTGGATAATACGGTTCCAGAAGGGAACTCGAGAGAGCACAAAACCCACACATCCTTGTTGGACCATGCAGAAACCATGAGCCTTTTTTCCCCCCGAGGGCAGCATGGTGCAGTAGGAAAGCTTTACGTTTGCAATCAAACAGATGTAGGCTAATTCAGGCTCTTCTCTTTACTGTCTGTGCATTCTTTTGCAAGTTATACTGTTTCTCTGATTCACAACTTCCTGGTTTGTAAAATGAAGAAAAAGTTATCTACATCAGAGCATTGTTGTATAGATTCAATTAGTTGATTGATTTATTCCAAAATAATCATTGAACCCAGGCTCTGTGTCAGCCATTCTTCTCAATGCTGAAAATTCAGTAAGGAACAAAAGAGACAAAGATCTTAGACAAAGATCCTTCTACTGAGGATAGTAGAAAAATAAAAAAATAACATGAATAAAGTATCTAGAATAAGTAGTAGGCAGGAAGGTATAAGTGCAAACCATATAAATCTAGCAAAAGATTTTCAAAGCAAAAAGAACGACAAATACAAATATCCTTGAAATGAGAGTGTCCCTTTTAAAAGGATTCAAGAATGTAATGAGGCCAATGCCCGCCTCATTCCCGCCCTATTCATGTTCTTATCCAATGAGGGGTTCAAACTTCCTCTGGATTGATCTTTGACTCCGTTACCGGATTGGCTATTGTTTTATAAGGCTGAGTCATAGGGCCCCCACCGCCAAGAGTCAGAGGAAGAAAGTCATAAACAAAGGGCCCTGGCCTGCCAGAGACGGGAACGCCTCTACGTGGCCTGCCAGAGGCGGGAAAATCGGAGAATTCCTGCTCTCAAAACAAGGCCCCAGCTGACCCCAGTAAGTCCTTTTAACACAATTCCTCATTACCTCACATTAATATGATCTATAATTTACACAGATGTACTCAGCAATAAGATCAAAATAAATTTAAATTTCTTAGTATTTCTTGCTTGACATATTGACGTTGAGGAGAGGAAGATATTTTATAGGTGATGAGGAGGTGGTGTTTGAATTCAGAGCAGATTGAAGGAGATCACTAGTCCATAAGTCGGTGACTTAGTGGTCTTAGACGGCACTACTGGACATATACAGCCAGTGCTTGTTTTAATAACCAATCCTCATGCCATATAGTTTGTTAAATATATTTTAATACCATTCCTGATCATAGGTTTGGTAAGGACATGAAGTGTAGAAATTATCTAGCCTAGGGTCTAATACACGGTGAAGTGAATGAACTGCCTAGAGAGAGCAAGTGGATAGCTATAAAAAATACAATTTAATTGAAAAGTAGGAGTAGACCATAATGGTGGCTAAGAGTGAGGACAGGTTAAGAATTTAGGAAAACTAAATAAACCTCAGTGACAAGCAGTAATGTGCAAAATTCAAGGTGGAAGGTAGCATGGTGACCCAAGTGTCTGAGGTTGGGGTGGGATGAAGGAGAAGTTGGAGGATTAGAACTGAGTGGGAATTCAGTTAATTGAGAGATGCCATTCTTTCCTCTCCAATTTGAATGCTTCTCTGCCTAGTTTATTTTCTGCCATTCTTCAGACTGCATCTGTGTCTTTTACTTTTTCTTGGCCCCAAGCTAAAACCATAAACCCTGAACAATTCTGTTGGTAGAAAGGGCTTCTGTATTTCCAGAGATCATCTCTGCACTTTAAAGTGGAATAAAGTTGAGAGCCTGTGTCAGGGCAGGAGAGGAGAGTAAATTCATGTGTGATTAATTCATCACTGGGCGTGATGGATCCAGTTCTATCCTACTATATGCAGCCAGGATTGGCATCATTCATCTCGTGTTCATCGCATGGCACATGGAGAGTATATGAGTGAAGGAAGTTTCTGGTTCAACCAAGCTACTGTTCTCTGATCCTCCCTGTAATGGACAAGGCATACTTTCCCACCTCTCTTTCTTTACCTCGGCTATTTCCATCTTCTGCTGCTCATTTCATCTGAGACAGACCATTCTCCAGAAAGTATTCATGGAAGATTCTCACTAGATTGACCATTTCTTTATTTTCTTTATTCCACTTTACTTCAAGGATTCTTTTTACTCTGTGAATTTCCCGACATTATTTCACTCCAAAATTGGAGATGAGACTCACTACTGCTACAAACACTTAAGTCCTCATCCTAAACTAGTTTTGGAGATTCTTACTGTAACCAGAGTAACTGCAGCCAGTTCCCTGGTTCCCAGACTGGGAGTCGAACCCCATGCCGCCTGGGTGAGAACCAGGAGTCCTAAGCACTAGGCCACGACAGAAGTGAAGTGGTTGCTCTTGGGACTTAAGCCCTTGGCCCTCCTAACCCCAAGAACAGGGAAATGGGACTCCTTGGCTGTGCAGTGAGTTTTACAGCTTAAATAGAACTCGTGGACCCAAAGAGTGTGCAAAAGTGCAGTTGATTAGGCAGAGTGAAAGGACGCTCTCGTGGGAGGGGAGGGAGAGGATTTCAGCCAGGTTGGGGCGCCTAGAGTTTTTCACTCCTGAGCTATTCCCGCCCTATTCATGTTCTCATCCAATGAGGGGTTCAAACTTCCTCTGGATTGATCTTTGACTCCGTTACCGGATTGGCTATTGTTTTATAAGGCTGAGTCATAGGGCCCCCACCCCCAAGAGTCCGAGGAAGAAAATCATAAACAAAGGGCCCTGGCCTGCCAGAGACGGGAACGCCTCTACGTGGCCTGCCAGAGGCGGGAAAATCGGAGAATTCGTGCGCTCAAAACAACAGCCCCAGCTGACCCTGGTAAGTCCCTTTAACACAATTCTTCATTACCTCACATTAATATGATCTATAATTTACACAGATGTACTCAGCAATAAGATCAAAATAAATTTAAATTTCTTAGTATTTCTTGCTTGACATGTTGACATTGAGGAGAGGAAGATATTTTATAGGTGATGAGGAGGTGGTGTTTGAATTCAGAATTCTCTTTCTTATCAGATTTGAAGCTTGAGAATCTTTGGTCTGTGGGAAGAAATTCCTATGCACTCAAATATGTGTTCCTATATTCTTCACATCTTTAAGATAACTGCTTATGGGTATCAAAGGTAAAATAAAAATAAGGAATAATGAACATTGAAAAAAATAGAAGGTAGAAATGCCTACTACCTTGACCTTGCTTGTTCCTAGCTAATGGCAAATGCTGACTGCTCCTCAGGCTTATAAAGTCAAAAATTAATGAAATCATTTCACCTACTGATTCTAGTTTTGAGGTCATCAACTTGCAAAGCAGAGAAGGGATGACTTTAGGAACAAAGCTCTGACTCATCCAGGGGTTTGGAGTATGGCAAGTTATTGCTTCTTAGTTTTACGGTAGCAATTTAAGTTTTGTGTGATTTTGTAATTGTAGGATATAGTGAGGTAGCCAGAATAAAAATATAACCATAGCCTAAATACTATATTTATCAATCAAAATATGGTTTTTTTAAAAAAGTAACTAATAGCAGAAACACATTAAAATAAATTTCATGATTGATTTGGAATCAGCTTACTTTGGAAGTTCACACAAACTCAATTAACTTTGATAGAAATTAGGTCAGTTGATGCAATGGAACCAGTGAAAGTTGGATTATTTCCTCCAGGGATAGAAGTTTCTAAATTCTATTCTTGAATGCATTTTGACATAAAGCTCTTGGATGTTAAGAAAACTTCTCAACCTTTTTCTCTTCTGAAATTATTTTATAAGTAGAGTTGTTACTTGTCCACAATGCTTTGTTCTAGGTTTAATTTCTATTTTTCCAGGCTTAGAAATCTCTGCTAGTGACTATAGGGTGAAGAGATTGATTCTTCTCCCACTTAAGCAGTTTCAGCCCTTGATTAATCAAATCAAATGGATTCAATCGTGCCTAGAAAGTGGAGATTCCCGAGGGCTACATTTTTAAAGAAGAAAGTCTAGAGAGTTGATTCAATGAATATTTATGCAACAGATGTTTATTGAATATCTTTTATGTGCCAGATAGTGTTTTAGGAGGTAGCAGTGCAGCAGTGAAAACAAAGCCCTTGCCCATAAGGCATTTCCATTCCAATAGAGACTGATAGTTAAAAAAATTTTTAAAAATAAGCAAGCAGCAACATTGAACATAAGGCAGTATTAAGTAGAGAAGTGCTATGAAGAAAATAAAATAGCTTATGGTAATAGACAGTAATGGGTCATCTGCTATTTGTGCCTGGGGAATGTTGAGCTTAAAAGGGGACAATTGACCCAAAATCTATAAAGGAGCAAGTTTTGCAGGTATTCTGGGTTAAGAGTGACAAAGGAGTTAGGCAAAAGTTGCTAATATTGGAATTATAACAGGGTTAGATATTTTGAGGCGTGTATCTTCCAAATCACAGCAAATAACATCAATCTCTTTTTTTGAAAAAAAAAAAAAAAAAATACAGGGAATCATTCCACACTCTGAATGATAAGAAGGCAGTTAGCAAAAGAACAGAGAACCTGTATCCAGAAGACTTGAGTTCAGGCCTTCCTATTGCCTTTCACTCGCTGTATAGCCTCAGGAAAGTCATCCACCACTAATGCTTAATTTAACGCATAATAATTGGGAGATGACAATAAATGGAAACTGGTGTGTGTTACTGGCAGCATGCTGAGTACTTATATCTGAGGGTAGGAATTATCCCTATTCAGAGATAATTATATACTCCCTGAATATTTTGTTTCCTTTGCATCTTTAAGGTTCCAGATGAAAGCACTTTGCAAACTCTAAGGCAATATCCAGTGGTTAGCTATTGTATAGCACATGCTTCTCAAACTACAGTGTGTGCACCCCTGGGATCTATGAAGCCACCAGATAGATCTGCATTTATTTTCTTTGTATATAAATGTCAACCTATAACAATCAGTGGAACAGATTAGAGAGCCCAGAAATAAGGCTGCACATCTCCAACCATCTGATCTTTGACAAAAGAGAACCATGAAGAAAGGAATCCCTATTCAATAATTGGTTCTGAGATAACTGACTAGCCTTATGCAGAAGGTTGAAACTAGACCCTTACCATACACCATATACAAAAATCAACTCAAGATGAATTAAAGACTTGAATGTAAAACCCAAAACTATAAAAATATTGGGAGATAATCTAGGCAGTACCATTCTGCACATAGAAACTGGCCAAGATTTTATGATGACACCAAAAGCAATTGCAACAAAAACAAAAATTGGCAAGTGGGATGTAATTAAACTTAAGAGCTTCTGCACAGAAACTATTAACAGAGTAATATTTAATTATTTTTTAATATTAAAAACTATTCACCGAGTAATAACTATTAACAGACAACCTAAAGAATGGGAGAAAATATTTGCCAACCATGCTTCTGACAAAAGTCTAATATCCAGAATCTTAGGGAAGTTAAACAGATGTAAAAGCAAAAAAAACAACCCCATTAAAAATGGGCAAAGAATGTGAAAAGACACTTTTAAAAAGAAGACATACATGCAGACAACAAGCATTTGAAAACGTGTTCAACATCACTAATTATTAGAGAAATGCAAATTAAAATCAGTGAAATAGTATATCATCTCATGCCTGTCAAATGGCTATTACTAAAAAATACCAGAGACTAGCAAGGTTGGGTGAAAAGGGAACACTTATACCCTGCTGGTGGGAGTGTAAATTAGCACAGCCATTGTAGAAGGCAGTGTAGTGATTCCTCAAAGAACTAAAAACAGAATTACCATTCAACCCAGCAATCTCATTATTGGATACATACCCGAAGAAATATAAATCACTCTGCCATCAAGACACATACATGCGTATGTTCATTGCAGCAGTATTTACAATAGCAAAGACATGAAACTAACCTAAATGCCCATCAACGGTAGACTAGATTAAGAAAGTGTGGCACATACACACCTTGGAATACTGTGCAGCCATAAAAAGTCAAGATCATGTCCCTTGCAGCAACATGGATACAGCTGGAGACCATTATCCTTAGCAAACTAGCAAAGATCAGAAAACCAAATACCACTTTTGTTCTCAATAAGTGGGAGCTAAATAACAAGAACTCACGGACACAATAAGGGGAACAACACACACTGGTACCTACTTGGAAGTAGAGGGTGGGAGGAGGGAGAAGATTAGACAAATATACCTGTTGGATTCTATGCTTATTACCTGGGTGAGTAACCCATACACCAAACCCCTGTGACACGAGTTTACCTATATAAGAAACCTGCATCTAACCTAAAATAAAAATTGAAAAGGAAATAAGTACATTTTACCCTATAACAGATACAAGCATTTTTTTTTGAGATGGAGTTTCGCAAATACAAGCATTTTTTAAGTTAACAGATCTTATGAAGTAAAACGTAAGTTTTTGATTTATAAGACAACGTAACTTCAGAGAAAAAGCTGAGCCTTATATAAAATGTGATTAAAATGTGATTAAAAATGTGATTGTTATTACATAAGAGGGTTATAGGAAGGTTAGTTTCTTATGGACAAGTAGGAGAATAGGAATCATGCCAACCTGATCATCACATTAGATATTCAACAGAGGTACTGTCCTTCCTTGCTTTCATCAGTAGAGTGAGGGCATTTGGATGGCATTATTATTACAAATGTTTTAAATGTATTCCTTATTTTGAAAATGGTCCTGATAATAGTTTTAACTTTCACTCATGAACTCTACATGTATAAGGAGAGTTTCTCCAGCCCTTACCAGCATATAGGAAAAAAAAATTATAAGGCCATCAACAGTGATAGTGTGGAATTTATTAACATTGACTCTACTGATGAGAGTATTCAACTTCTCTAAAATTCACAATCAGTTATTTTCAGCTCGTAAACATCGTCTTTTGTTCTTTGGCTTATTTCTTCCACCATTTTGTTTGGGGTGTGTTTGTGTCAGTGTGTGTGTGGGAGGGTGCACACATACGTAGGTTTCCTACAAAGAAATTGAGAATGGCTGGGCGTGGTGGCTCACACCTGTAATCCAAGCACTTTGGAGGCCAAGGCGGGCAAATCACCTGAGGTCGGGAGTTCAAGACCAGCCTGACCAACATGGTGAAACCCCGTCTTAAAAAAAAAAGAAAGAAAGAAAAATACAAAAAAAAAAAAAAAAAAGAAGAAGAAGAAGAAGAAAAAGAAATTGAGAATATGCATGCAATCAAATTTGACAAAAGTTTATTTTTTTTTCTGGCTTGTCCTTTTTATGTCTTATTTAAGAACAACCCCATCAATAAATGGGTGAAAGATACAAGCATACACTTCTCAGAAGAAGACATTTATGCAGCTAACAAACATGAGAAAAAGCTCATCATCTCTGGTCATTAGAGAAATACAAATCAAAACTACAATGAGATAACAGCTCATGCCAGTTAGAATGGGGATCATTAAAAAGTCAGGAAACAACAGATGCTGGAGGAGATGTGGAGAAATAGGAATGCTTGTGCACCTTTGGTGGGAATGTAAACTAGTTCAACCATTGTGGAAGACAGTGTGGCGATTCCTCAAGGATCCAGAACCAGAAATACCATTTGACCCAGCAATCCCATTACTGGGTATATACTCAAAGGATTATAAATCATTCTCCTATAAAGACACATGCACAGGTATATTTATTGCAGCACTATTCACAGTAGCAAAGACTTGGAACCAACCCAAATGCCCATCAATGATAGACTGGATAAAGAAAATGCGGCATATGTACACCATGGAATACTACGCAGACATCAAAAAGGATGAGAGGATGAGTTCACGTACTGCAGGGACATAGATGGAGCTGGAAACCGTCATTCTCAGCAAACTGACACAAGAACAGAAAACCAAACACCGCATGTTCTCACTCATAAGTGGGAGTTGAACGATGAGAACACAGGGACACAGGGAGGGGAACATCACACACTGGAGTCTGTCAGGGGGTGGGGAGCTAGGGGAGGGACAGCATTAGGAGAAATACCTAATGTTGATGATAGGTTGATGGGGTATAGCAAACCATCATGGCACATATATAACTATGTAACAAACCTGCACGTAAAGTATAAGAAAAAAATAAAAGAAACCTCCTTCTACTTCAATGTATGGAGAAATTCTGTGTTTTATTCAATACCATTACTAGTCTATTTAGATAATTAATCCAGCCAGATATATATTTTTGCATGATGGAAGATAAAGGCTCAGCATATCATTCCCCATATGTTGTCATTTGCCTGAACTCTTTTTATAGTTGTCCATTCTTGCCTTGGGATTTTTAATGCCACTTTGATTATATACCATGTTTTAATTTACATGTGGTTCTATTTCCACACTCCATCAGTTGATTTTTCTCTGTGCCACTACCATACTGATTTAGTTATCATACGTTTGTAGTAAGTATTGATATCTAGTAGTAGGGATAGTACATCCTAAAAAACATATTTAACTTATTTTGCACATTTTTGTCTTTATTTTTTTCATTTAGGTTTTGGGATCATCCTGATAACTTCTATGAAAATCCCTTTGAGATTTTGCATGGGAGTTTATAGAGTAATTTGACAATATTGCTGTATTCATTTTATCAAATCTTCCCATTTAAAATATCACATATACCCACTTAATTAGGTCATTTAAACCTCTCGATAAAGTTTTATAAGGTTCCTTTTAAAACTCTTAAATATTTTGTATTAGATGTTCTATGTGCTTTGTAGTTTTGTTGCTATTGGAAATTACTTTTCTATGTAATATTTTTCTCTCTTGGAGTGGTGCTAGAATAAAGGAATGTATTTCTGCATATTAATCTTATAGTTAGAAAAACTGTTGAATCATTATTTATGTTTTATTATTTTGGATACTATACATAAACAATCATATTACTACAATGTGATTCTGGCAACAAGATATAAAAATAGATCAATGGACAGAAGAAAGAATCCAGAAATAGACCCACTCATATTTGGACAACTGATTTTTACAAAGATACAAAAAAAAAAAAAGTCTTTAAAGAAAGAACAGTCTTTTTAACATATGGTTCTGGGAAAATTTATATTCATATGAAAAGTAAATGAACTTTGAATCATCCCTCACTACGTATACAAAATAACTCAAAACAGTACATACACCCAAATGTAAAATATCAAACCATAAAATTTTTAGAGGAGAACATAAAATGTTCTAATCTTGACATTGGAAAAGATTTCTTAAATATGACACTGAAAGCACGATCCATGAAAGAAAAAATTGGTTAATTGCACTTCATCAGGTATATGTATATGCCAAAATTTATCAAATTGTATATTTCCAATATGTGCACTGTGTTGTATGTCAGTTATGCCTTGATAAATCTATTTTTAAAACAACAGGAAAATATATTCTGGTTTTGTTGTTATTGTTGTTTGGGGGTTTTTTTGAGATGGAGTTTCACTCTTGTTGCCCAAGCTGGAGTGCAATGGTGCAATCTTGGCTCATAGCAACCTCCGCCTCCTGAGTTCAGGCAATTCTCCTGCCTCAGCCTCCAGAGTATTTGGGATTACAGGCATCCACCACCACGCCTGGCTAATTTTTGTATTTTTAGTAGAGACAGGGTTTTGCCACATTGGCCAGGCTGGTCTCAAACTACCGACCTCAGGTGATCTGCCCACCTTGGCCTCTCAAAGTTCTGGGATTACAGGCGTGAGCTACTGTGCCCAGCTGATATAGCCTCTTTTCTAAGAATTCCAGAGGTGTTGTATACTTTCCGAAAATGTTTTTCCCGGGAATAGTGACCACCTTGCTTAAGAAGTTCTTACCTATGTTCCACTCAAACCTCTTTTACTACTGTAAACATTTTGCTTATTTTTCTTTAAAAAATAGTAACAGCTCACCTTGCTTTATTCTGAATTTAGAATCACTTTTGGTGTTGTAATCGTCTATGTTTTGGACTCCATACAGGTGGATCCTGAAGTTCTTAGATGGAGAGTAAATATAAGGAGATACTCCTGCTAACGGGCCTGGAGAACATCACCAATGAAGAACTGGATAGATTTAAGTTCTTCCTTCCAGATGAGTTTAATATTGCTAGAAGCAAACTACATGCTGCAAATCGACCACAACTAGCTAACCTGATGATTGAAAATGCTGGTGTGGTGTCTGCAGTGACGAAGACCATTCGTATTTTTCGGAAGTTGAATTACATGCTTTTGGCAAGACGTCTTCAGGAAGAGAAGGAGAAAGGTAAAGTGGGAGCCCTGCACTGCCTAGTCCCTTTCTTTGCCAAGCCTGGGCCTCTCCTTTTGCCGCATCCCTGGGATACGGCCCCCAGTGCACATTTGTGGGAGTTTGTTTGCCGACTTAGTGCACTGTCTCTTTGCTTCCTTTTACTGAGAATCACTTCTAGGAAGTGTTTGTTACAAATTCCACAAATCCATTCCATCTTCTTGTTCCAGCCCTTAGGGTTACCATTTCCATTTATCATCTTTTCTCTTTGCCTATCTTTGTCTCCAGTTCAACTGTAGTGAACTTGGATGTAGGATTTCAAAGTTAACATCCCCCAACTCTATTTACACAGTATATATTGCGCTCACATTTTACTGAAGTCTTGAAAATATAAATAATCACATTGGAAAAGTGTCAACCAGGATATTGAGCACCTTTTCTCCTTCACGTAGTCTGTCTATTCCTCTCCTGTCCCCAGCTTTCTGAGGTCCCAGACTATCCTTCAGGGGACAATCTCCTCCTCCTATTAGGGGATTCTCTCTCCTATCTCCAATACAGGTGGCACTATAAATCACCCACAACACAAAGGTTTTTTACATTATTAATTAAATCACTCATTGTCTCCATCTACATTTAGTTTAAATCTCTTTTAAATTTCTGATTTTGTTTCCTAAGAAAATTGATATGTCCCGGCTTTATGTCTGAAGAACAAAAGAGAGCTAACAAAGGAGCATCTCATCCAAGGACTCTCCCAAATGAGAGTCTCCAAATGCCACAGTTTTAGGATTCAAAGTACAACTGTAGGCCGGGCGTGGTGGCTCACACCTATAATTCCAGCACTTCGGGAGGCCGAGGCAGGTGGATCACGAGGTCAAGAGATCGAGACCATCCTGGTCAACATGGTGAAACCTCGTCTTTACTAAAAATACAAAAATTAGCTGGGCATGGTGGCACGTGCCTGTAATCTCAGCTACTCAGGAGGCTGAGGCAGGAGAATTGCCTGAACCCAGGAGGAGGAAGTTGCGGTGAGCCGAGATCGCGCCATTGCACTCCAACCTGGGTAACAAGAGCGAAACTCCGTCTCAAAAAAAAAAAAAAAAAAAAAGTACAACTGTAACAGCAAAAATTGCAACAGCTTTTAATAGCATTTGTGAGTGTATAACACGGATGACATCACTTCTCAAACATGACTTATAGGAAGGCTAAATGAAGCCATGTAAGTGATACTATGTACGTTCATAATCCTTTACAGATATAAACTGTTAGGTAGTATCTAAGGCACCAAAGAGAAAGTGTTACACATTGTATTTTCCCAGGTTAGATGAAGTTAGAAGGCGTAGTTCTTAGAGATGGCCCCTAGATGGCAGTAACCACACGTGTTACTTTGAAGTAACCAACTGCATTTTCTTGTCTGGGATGAGAGGAATCTAGGCATACTGGCAAACATAGGCTGAGAAATTTAGAAATACCTTTTATTTTGGCATTAAATCGAGAATTAATTCTTCTCTTTGACCAGGATAGCACAAAGTTTCACATTCTAAATCTTCCTCCCATTTTGCTGTTCTAATGATTCTGGGATTTTGTTATTCTGATTAGATTTAAAAAAAAAAAGATCCAGTTTGGAACTAGCGTGGAAACTCAGGAGTAGATCATCCAAGGACTCTCCCAAATGAGAGTCTCCACATGTGACAGTTGCAGGATTCAAAGTATGCTTTTTGGACAGGCACAAGTGGCTCACACCTGTAATCCCAGCATTTTGGGAGGCTGAGGTGGGCAGATCACTTGAGGTCAGGAGTTCAAGACCAGCCTGGCCGACATGGTGAAACTTCATCTCTAATAAAAATACAAAACTTAGCCTGGAGTGGTGGCAGGCGCCTGTGATCCCAGCTACTCGGCAGTCTGAGGCAGGAGAATCACTTGAACCTGGGAGGCGGAGGTTGCAGTGAGCTGAGATCATGCCTCTGCACTCCTGCCTGGGCAGCAACAGTGAGACCCTGTCTCAAACAACCATAAAACACAAAGTATGCTTCTTGTATGCTTTACAAGAAGGCAGTTCAGTTCTGTCATAGCTAAAATTCCAGCCACAGACATTCTTAGGCCCCTCTGAATGTAGGAAATTGTTGTGTCTCTATGCTACTTCTATTATTATAGGAAAACCATTTTTGTTTTGTTTTTTTGAACAGTTAATCTTTTATTCTTGGTTAAGTGATCCCTCTCCATAGCCATTGCGTGTCTGCATGTAGAGTGCTATATGCTATTCTACTCACGACCTCACCTCATAGAAGGTAGACAATACCTGGAGAATCTTTAATGAAGACAGAGGCAATAAGCAGTAGACAAGAGAAGCTTTTGTAGGAAACAAAATGAGAAAATATAAGGACACGTAAGCCTAGAGAAAGGAAGCTAAGAGAAAATATGATCAAAGTCTACAAAAGTCCTGTAAGATTAAAATAAAATGCTCAAAATGATAAATGAAATAATAAATAACAATGTGCGCCCTGATTATTAAGGCAAATGAGAGATTTAGAGTGGGCAGACAAGCTTATTCACAAATTTTGCTTTGGTACCACTGTGTGTGAGATGAAATATGGCTGATGTGATGTGGCAGAATGGTAGGTGGATTCCCTTGACCTCCCGTGACTGTTTTCTCTCGTATGCTGTCAACATAGAAGGCAGACTTTATCTGCATACCTTTCTGAAACCAGTTTCATGGAATTTACTTGCCATTGGAAGGTTAGTTTAACTTCTTTCTAGAGCAGAGATCCTGCTACAAAATCCCAGTCAACCACTTTCTGCTCTTTGAAAGTTAGTGACAGAGTACCTGCTACCTCATAAGACAGTTCATTCTACTCTTAGCTCTAATAATTAAATCGTTTCTCTTTTTACTACAATCAAAGTGATTGCCTTGTTATTTCAGCTCAGAATTGCTCAAATTCTATCAGAAATGACATCTGAGAATTTTTCAGTCCCTCTTCTGCCTGAGAGTGCCTTAAGTCACCAAACATGGCCATCTTATTACATGGTCCTTTAAAAAAATCACAACTAGGAATTGGCTTTTCAAAATAACATATAACCTGACCATAGACCTGGAGGAACCCAGCCAGATTATACAACTGCATTTTGCAGGCATTAGTGAGGAGCCAACATGCCACCCATCCATCCATTTCTTCATCCATTCAGTAAAAATCTATTGAATTGCTAATAGGTACAAGGAATTCTTTTAGGTCCTTATGAGAAAACAAGGAGTTAAAAACAAATCCAGATTTTGTACAGCTTTTACTCTAAAGGGAAGGTAGACATTTTTCTTACAAGGCAAATTAATGCATGTAATGAACTGAGAAAAATGCTCCGATGCAAAGGAAGATGGTCCTTTAGCAGCATGTGTCAAAGGAGCATTAACAGAAGCCAGGAGTCAGAGTTGGTGTTGGTCAAAAGCAGGTTCCGCAGGGAAGTGACCCATGAGCTAAGCTCTGAAAAATCCATAGCAGTTAAAGGTAACTTCAGTCAGAGGGAACACTGTGAAAATCCCCGGGAGCAAGTGTTGACCTGCCTGAGGACCGAAAGAAGGCTGGAGTACAGAGACTCTTCAGAGGGCAGGATGTGGTCCCCTTGACACAGGCAGTGCAAAGCCTTGTAGAACATAATTAGAAATCTGCCTTTGTTTCATAGCAGCAGTTTATTCATTTTTGCTACTATATGAGATTTCATTTAACTTTTAATTACATATACACATAAACTCAAATACATATATAGAGAGAGAATTGGTCTATTTTTATTTTAGTCATTTGAGGCCATTATGAATAATGCTGCTATGAATATTTATGCACATTATAAGCCTATGTACTTATCTTTGTATGTATTTTTGTGTGTGTTTCTCTTGACTGTATACCTGTGAATGGAATTACTTGATGTTAAGGTAAGCAGATTTTTTTTTTTTGAGACAGAGTCTCACTTTGTCATCCAAGCTGGAGTGCAGTGGTGGGATCACAGCTCACTGCAGCCCTGAACTCCTGGGCTCAAGTTATCCTCCTGCCTCAGTCTCCCAAGTAGCTGCGACTAAAGACATGTGTCATCGCACCTGGCTAATTTGGAAAACAGTTTCTGTAAATATGGGGTCTCCCTATGTTGACCAAGCTGGTCTCAAACTCCTGGCCTCAAGCTATCCTCCAGCCTTGGCCTCCCAAAGTTCTGAGATTACAGGTGTCTATGTCATGTTGTTTCTTTATTTTTAAAAATAAGATTTAATTTTTTTTAGAAAAGTGAGCTGTTCTTGAAGATATCCTAATATGGTTTTAATATTTATTTCTGGTGACACTTGAAAATGTTCACTGCTCATATGTTTATAGGCTTATTGGCCATGTCTTGTTTTTTAATCAGTTGATAAGGAATACAAATCAGCAACAAAACAAAAGCCACTGAGTCAAACTGAAATGAGTCCTGCTGCGTCTGCAGCCATCAGAAATGATGTCAAAAAGCAACGGGCTGCACCAAAAGTCTCTGCTCATATTAAGGTAGGAGGAGGGGAGGGGAGTGGCCTTTGTCCTTGTAAGAGTGTCCTCTAGTCACTGTCACTGTCACTTCCCACATGGTTCTCTGTTCTTTGTCTCACAGCATGCAAATAGGGGAAGCAAGGCCACAGTATGAAAAGTGATCTGAGTCACAAAAAGTGGAACTACCTGTGATTTATCAGATTAAACACCTGTTGAGCTTCTAATCTCTGCCAGGCCCTGCACACATTAACACTTGGTTAAGGTTTGGATTCTATAGAAGAAAACTCTGAGATAGACAGTTGTTTACAGGAAGTCTATTCTAGGTCACTTTCAGAATCAGTATCTGTGAGGAAGTGAAAGCAGCGGAAGACAAAGAATGTCGAGAACAATGTACTTGCAGTGGAGGCCCTGGCCTATCTGATGTGGAGCTCGGGAGCTGAGAATGCCTTTCATGGCTCCCATGATTTGGGGGAGTCTGTGGTTTGCACACGCCCAGGTTCCGGGTCACATCAGAGATCCAATTCGGAGACTCTTACACTCTGCCTGCCATGCCTCTGTTTCCCCTTGGTTTCCCCTGTATTCCCCTTGGTTTTTGACAGCAAATTGCTTTTTAAAAGCAATGTAAAAAAGTCCTCTATACAGCTACATGGACAAGGTGAGGCGGCCCCATTTAGGTGAGAGAGTCGTGCCTAGAGAGTCTTGTTCTTGGTGAGAATGAGGGAGCAGCAGGCAACATCCGAGTCCCAGCACAGAATCAACCACACACGCAATTTCATTTCCTATGAGGCAAATATTACTTCATTTTATAGCTGTATGAGCTTCAGAAACTATATACTTCATCTCTTTGTCTAGAGTAGCCATTTCCTCTGCATTTGGCCCGAAACATCTCGATTTTGCAGAAAAACAAGTATAAATGGTGTGATACCGTCATCAGTAATGACAATATGTATTATTTAGTCTGCAAGACCCAACTAAAGATACATGAACCAAACAGAAGGACTTTTGTAGTGGACCTCAGTGAAGCTGACCTTTCCCTGCCTTGGTCCAAATGCAATCAGTCGTACTACCCATTAGGGACCCTTACTCGCCCAAGCTCCGCTGGCCGAAGCTTCAGGTCTCCTCAGGGACACCCTTCAGAAACTCCTACACTTGGCTTTTTATGCCTCTGTTTGTTTTCCCCTATATTCCCCTCTGGTTCTAGATGGCAAGTTGCTTTTAAAAGTAGTATTTTTCCCCAAAACAAGGTATCTTATCTCTGTTAGTTCAGAAAAATAAAAAAAAAACCACAGAGAAGAGAATAAAATTACCTATAATTGTATCCTCTAGGAAAAAACTATATTGATGTTGGTAAATCTCTCTCCAGTGTGTGTGTTTATGGGCTTTAACTGCTTATCCTTTATCTTTTTAGGACCTTTCCCTTTATCGAATCAGTTACAAGTTTATCATATTATTTCTCTAAAGCAGTTTTAATATTTGCATAGCAATCTATTTGTGACTATACCGTGCCTTATTTAACCAAATCTATTTTTTAGGTATTTAAATTTTTTTTAATAATTTCAAATAATAAGATGTATTTTTTAAATGTAAACCTCAGTTTATAATTCATTATTTCTAAGGGTAAATCCATACATCTAGTATTGAATCTCCTTTTAAATGTCTCCTTTAACTCACTGGTAAGATCTCTGGCCTAGGTCTCCTCCCCTTAACTTATATTAAATATAATCTGCATTTTGTTACGTACAGCACCTCCCTAGGAATTTGGGGAGCCCTGCGCAGGTCACTGAGCTCCCTCACTTTTATACCAGAGTAAAATGAACGTTTTGGACAGAGAAACAGGACGCATTATGCCTAATGGAGTTGATAGAAGACGGAATCCAGTTTATCAGATTTACCCCATGCTTTAGCAATATTTCAGAGATCTGATGAGCTCTTAATATACAGCAATTGGCAAAGCAAGAATTTTGTTTCAGGGAATCCTACCTTCAAAACCTGTTACACCGTCTTAGCTGAACACAGGAGCTGAAATCTTCCGTCTGCATTCTCTGTTGTATCCAGGTCGTTCTAGGCCTCGGATCTCTTCCAGACCCTTCTAAAACGCTTCCCTTGATTCTGCCTATCTTCAGCTGGCTTCCTGAGGTTTAGCACTGTGAGTGAAGGTCCTCTCAATAGTACCCTTAAGACTCACAGCTGATATCTTTCTTCTCTTGTCTTCAGCCTGAGCAGAAACAGATGGTGGTCCAGCAGGAATCTATCAGAGAAGGGTTTCAGAAAGACCATTTGCCAGTTATGACTCACAGCTGATATCTTTCTTCTCTTGTCTTCAGCCTGAGCAGAAACAGATGGTGGTCCAGCAGGAATCTATCAGAGAAGGGTTTCAGAAAGACCATTTGCCGGTTATGGTACTGAAAGCAATGAAGCCCTTCGAGTTTGAGACCCAAGAAGGCAAGCAAGAGATGTTTCATGCTACAGTGGCTACAGAGAAGGAATTCTTCTTTGTAAAAGTTTTTAATACACTGCTAAAAGATAAATTCATTCCAAAGAGAATAATTATAATATCAAGATATTATCGGCACAGTGGTTTCTTAGAAGTAACTAGTGCCTCACGTGTGTTAGATGCTAAATCTGACCAAAAGGTTAATGTCCCACCAAACATTATCAGAAAAGCTGGGGAAACCCCAAAGATCAGCACGCTTCAAACTCAGCCCCTCGGAACAATTGTGAATGGGTTGTTTGTGGTCTATAAGGTATGTTTTCATATCTAATTTCATATTGATTAGTAATAATATTTTTCATCCGATCTTAAAGCGACTTTAGAAGTGGTTTAATATCTTTCTATATGGACAAAAAAATACAAAGTTCTAAAGAGCTGCAGAGTTAACATGCCAAAATTCATACAAAAACTCAAAAATTGTTTTTATTGTCAAAAATCTGTCACAATCCTGTTTCAACTTATTCTTATCCCAGTAACCTCTGGAAAAAGGAACTAATTCATTCATATAATTTTTATCTCTGTTACTTATTTATTTGTTTTTTTAAAGAGACGGGGTTTCACCATGTTGGTCAGGCTGGTCTTGAACTTCTGACCTCAGGTGATCTGCCTGCCTCAGCCTCCCAATCTGTTATTTTTATACTTTGTACATATCATCTTTAAGTGACTGTTGTTGTGAATGCGATGTAAGTGTAGTTGAGTAATGAACCAGATGAATCGACCTGAAAAACCAATATGTAAGGCAGGATTAAAGAACTGTGATTAAATGAAGAAAACAGAAGAAAGAGTTAGCTTGAGGAGACTTATTAGAAGTGAGAAATTTAAAGTATTATGACTCTGAGCCTCAGGGAAATAGCCCTGTGAGATGACTTTTTCTGATGAAATGAGATGACAGAACCTAAAGAACCACAGAGAGGGAACGTGCTGACCCTGCATTCAGAGCCTCAGAACCACCTCTGCTACCCTGGGTTAGTTTCAGAAGGAATTTATAGGAAGACTCTCCAGTCCTCTTGGAAAATACAAGTGTAAAATGACCTTGGATAGGAAGGTCATGTTCTTTATCCCAGTTTTCAGCTTTCAATCTGGCCAGCTATCCACTAATATATATTGATTTCGTCCATAAAATTAAACCTAAAATACTATCAATCTCCTAAATAACTAACATCCTGTTCCCTTTTGCTCTTAGACTTGATTGTGAATTATTTCTTGTCTTTGATTACTTACTAGACTCCCGACTGGGTCTCGCATCATTACCTCATGTCTCTCCTGGACTTGTTTTAAATCTCTCTCTTCAGGGCGGCTCATCCCTGTAGTCCTAGCGCTTTGGGAGGCTGAGGCAGGTGGATCATCTGAGGTTAAGGGCTCGAGATCGGCCTGGCCAATATAGTGAAACTCTGTCTCTAATGAAAATAGAAAAATTAGCCAGGCACAGTGGCAGCTACTTGGGAGGCTGAGGCAGAAAAATCGCTTGAACCCGGGGGATGAAGGTTGCAGTGAGCCAAGATCACACCACTGCACTCCAGCCTGGGTGAAAGAACAAAATTCCATCTCAAAAAATAAAAAATAAAAAAATAAACAGCTTTTTTCCAACCTTAAGGTCTTCTTTTTTTTCCCCTGATTAACCTGGCTACTGGCCCTGGAGAATCTCCATCTTCTCCATCCAGCAGCTGTTGCTTCTATGCGCCATCCCAGGCTCTTCCTAAAGGAAGGGAGTTTGGGACCGGAAGGATGGACATAAGAGACATGCTCTAAGTAAGACACATCTGCCTCTATGTAAACTTGCTAACATCTATTAGATACATACCTGCTAGTTTCAAAGCAGAATCTTTTTCTTCAAGTTGACCCTGGAACAATGTAGGGATTAGGGCTGCTGACCCCTAGCAGCTGAAAATCTGCATACAGTTTTTGACTCCCCAAAAACTTAATTACTGATAGCCTATTCTTGACCAGAAAGAAGCCTTACGGATAACATAAACAGTCAACACGTATTTTTATGTCACATACAGTATGGACTATATTCTTAACAAGTAAGCTAGAGAAAAAAATGTTATTAAGAAAAGTATAAAAAAGAAAATATATTGACTATTCATTAAGTAGAACATCATAGGCCGGGCGCGGTGGCTCAAGCCTGTAATCCCAGCACTTTGGGAGGCCGAGGCGGGTGGATCACGAGGTCGAGAGATCGAGACCATCCTGGTCAACATGTGAAACCCCGTCTCTACTAAAAATACAAAAAAACTAGCTGGGCGTGGTGGCGCGTGCCTGTAATCCCAGCTACTTAGGAGGCTGAGGCAGGAGAATTGCCTGAGCCCAGGAGGCGGAGGTTGCGGTGAGCCGAGATCGCGCCATTGCACTCCAGCCTGGGTAACAAGAGCGGAACTCCGTCTCAAAAAAAAAAAAAAAAAAAAAAAAAAAAAAAAAAAGTAGAACATCATAAAGGTCTTCATCCTCATTGACTTTATGTTAAGTAGGCTGAGGAGGAAGGAGGAAGAGGAGGGGTTGGTCTTGCTGTCGTGGGGTGGCAGAGACAGAAGAAAATTTCCATATAAATGGATCTACACAGCTAAAACCTGTGTTGTTCAAGGATCAACTGTATTTCTTTTTGGATCCTTCTGGCATGTCCGGTGTGTGACTGATGTGGCATTCTTTAATCAGATTATCAGAGGTTGGGTGTTGTTTTTCTTCGCAGGTAACAGAAAAGAAGAAAGGTATATTAAACCTAAGGGACAACACTGGCGATATGGAAGTACTGGTGGCTGGAGACCAGGACACAATAAAATGTGAGGAAGGAGATAAGCTTCGACTTACATTCTTCACGCTGTCAAAAAATGGAGAAAAACTACAGCTGACACCTGGAGTCCATAGCACCATAAAGGTGGGAACTGCATGGAGCAAAGTCAGCGCTCCAAGGGGATGATATTTTATGTTTTCTATCAGAAAGCTGGACTGGAGCCACTGGAATAGAAGACATTGATATCTAGTACACGAGCATCTCACGGAGCTGAGGAACCTTCCTCTTAGGAAACACATATTCTAGATACACAGTTAAGAGAACATGGGCTTTTCGAGACAGAGACACATACTGTTGTGCACACTGAGCCCAACAGAGAGCTCCTCAGTGACACTAAACGTTTAAAGCAGAAAGCTTGCCCAGAGTTGAAGTCATTCTGACTTTTTCAAATGTCTTTTAAAGTAGACAGACCATAAATTCTTGGAGGATGCATTTCCCTAGCCAGTCCCACCATGCCTGCACCTACCACAGTCCAGGGCAGTTGAGTCCACGTGAACCCCTACCTCTGACCTTCCACCACACCTCCTACCCATCTCTTGCCACTACTTGGTGCTCTTCCCCAGGTCTCAGTGTCCGGTGCACTGCCTGCTGTCTCTCCCTGTAAGAGGCTGAGAGTGTATTTCTCAGGTCAGATACTCACTTCAGGAATATGATCCAACACGGATCGATGTGTTAGAAGGGTGGGAACAAAATAATTTCATGAGAAGATGGTGTACACTTCAGAAGGCCATAGTGACTACAAACAGAGGAGGGGTAACTGGTCGACTGCATCTCAGACTGCATGTTTTTTTCTCCATCAGGTTATTAAGAACCAAAAAAAAAAATAGAGAAAGGAAAAGGACCAATTCAAACCAACCGGGAAGAATACGTGATACAGCCTGTTCCGTCAGATTGCAAGTTACCTGAGTGCGGCAGTTCACAGGCTCCTCTCTCCAAGTTAGGATAGGATAATTGCTGGATAAACAAATTCAAAATATCAACAGATGATTACAATAAACTTCTGTTTCTCATTCATTACAGTCTCACTGTCTTGTTTAGTTTGTCAATCCCTTGTTTCAAGCAAAAATGCTTTATCAATGTATCACATGTTAATACAAATTATAAGGAAATTATATGACAATAATTGTACAAAATACAAGAGGGAAGAATTAGGAGTATACTGTGGGAAGATCCTTGTACAACATGTGAGGCAGTGCAGGATTATTTAAAAGTAGATACTCCATAACTGAAGATGTATATTTTTGTCCCATAGGGCAGCGATTTGGAAATATTTTAAAAGGTATATAAGACAATTTTGTGTTATTGGAGAAAGAATAAGCATAAAGCCCAATGGAAAACTAGAGAGCCCAAACTAGGCTTGCACATTTACAGTCTGTTGATTTTCTACAAAAGTACAAACACAGTTGAGTGGAGAAAAGACTCAAAAAAAGTGCAAGAACAATTAGGTATTTATGCTTAAAAAAAATGAATCTGAGCCATTCCTCACTCTTTATACAAAAATAAACTCCAAATGGATCATTGGCTTTCATAAACACTTAAAACCACAAAACTTCTAGTGGAAAACACTGGAGGAAATCTGTGTGACCTTGGTCTAAGCAAATATTTTTTAGATACCATGCCAAAAGTGCAATCTACACAACATAAATGCTTAATAATTTGAACTTCATCAAAAAGAAGAACTTCCATTTTTCAAAAGGTACCATTAAGAGCGTTGAAAGGCAAACCATAGCCTGGGGCTTAATATTTATTCGTCACATAGCTGCTGAAGAAACTGCATCCAGTCCGGGCACAGTGTCTTAACACCTGTAATCCCAGCAGGGAGGGATTTGGGAGGCCGAGGTGGGTGGGTCACCTGAGGTCAGGAGTTCAAGACCACCCTGGCCGACATGGTGAAACTTCATCTCTACTAAAAGTACAAAAAGTAGCTCGGTGTGGTGGCAGGTCCCTGTAATCCCAGCGACTCAGGAGGCTGAGGCAGGATAATCACTTGAACCCGGGAGCAAGAGGTTGCAGTGAGCTGAGATCGCACCATTGCACTCCAGCCTGGGTGACAGAGTAAGCCTCTGTCAAAAAAAAAAAAAAAAGACCCTGTATCCAGAATTTATAAAGAGCACTCAAAATCCAATAATTAGAAAACAACCAACAAAATGTTTAAAATTGACAAAAAGATGATACATGGATGTCAAATAAGCGCATAAAAATACATTCTATATAATTCATCTTTAAGGAAAGTTAACTAAAACTACAGTGAGGTACCACTATACATTTATTAGAACAGCTTAAATTAAGATACATTGGCCAAACTAAGTGCTGACAAAGATTTGGAAAAATTGAAACTGTCATGCATTGCTGGTGGGAATGTCAAATGATATAACTTTTATGCAGAAGAGTTTGTCCATTTTTAAAAACTTAATATATATCTACAATGCTATGGTCTGAGGAGGATATAGAACAACTGAAACTCTTACTTATTGCTGGTGGGAATGAAAAGTCTTAGAGTGACTTTAGAAAAGAGTTTGGCAATTTCTTATAAATTTAACATGCTTACTACATGATACAGCAAACTTGCTCTCAGTATTTTAATCCACTTGAAATAATTATGTATGTTCACACAAAAACCTGCATGTAAATATTCATGAAAGCTTATTTGTAATTATGTAAAAAACTCAATTGTCTCTCACTTGAAAAATGAATAAACGAACTTTAGTAGATCCGCATAATCGAATTGTGCTTGGCAATAAAAAGGAATAAATTACTGATACACACGTCTACGTGGATAGATCTTTATTGTACACTCAGTGAAAAAAGCCAGATTCAAAATTCTACACAGGGACTCAGGGATGTGAGGATGGAAGGGGGAAAGAGGACGCTCTTCCTTCTCTCCCTCACATACCCCAAGTATCTGCTAGGAAGAGACAAGAACCAGGGATGCCTGCTCCCCTCCTTCTAGATGAGTAGCCATTCATTTTCAATCTGTACCCCTTTCAAATGCATCCTGAACCCTGTACCCCTTTCAAATGCATCCTGAACCCTGTACCCCTTTCAAATGCATCCTGAACCCGTGGGAGTCCTTAGATAAAACACCTTCCATTTTTCCTTTCTCCCTCTCAGTTCTCTCTTCACTGTGTCTCCATGCTATGAGGACACTCCCTTCAGATGCATCCTCCAAACTGGAAAGAGTTAATTTCCCAAACTTCAAACTGGTTAGTTTAGGATTGGGTTCAGGGGAAGGGAACCCAGAAGCCCCACGTGCTGGCAAAGGGTACAGTTTTTTGTTTTTGTTTTTGTTTTTGTTTTTTTACCAGTTAGGCTTTTGGCTTCCCTCTCTTTGTACAAACTGATCAAAGGCCTTGGGATTTTTGAACTATTCTTACCCCTCCTCTTGTTTCGTTTTGATACATGTTTTCTAATAACACAATTGGTCTCTTCTTGCCTTCAGGCCATCAAACTCCAAACAGTCATGCAACTGGAGAGGCAGACAATGGCCCCCTCTGCCGGGAACCCTTAAATAGGCCTCTGAGAGACTTTGACTGCTGTTTTCCCCAAAAGAGCACCCCCTGTCAGCAGAAAGCAGTTAAGATTGGTCTCCGTCCTTATCCTTGTCCTTATTCTAAGGGCAGTTAGATGCACACTTCTTTAGAGGGGGCAATGAGACCGCCAGGTGGGAAGGTGTACCCTGGGTTGGAGCCACAGAAGTTTGTGTCATTTGCAGTGGGGAAGAGCCTGGCCCCCTCCTCTTCCTGGATGGAGCCTGAAATGAAAACTGCAAGGCCAGAAGCACACCAGCAGGGAGTCTGGCTTTGCAGAGTTTCCTTTTCACCCAATTTCCTGTTTCCCTCTTTTCCTTTTCACCCAATAAACTCTGCCCTTCTCACTCTTCAGATTGTCTGCGAGCCTAATTTTTCATGGCCGTGTGATCAGGACCCCCATGTTTAGCTGAACTAAAGAAAAGCCCTGCGACAGGAGTAGACGTCTCCATTCCATCCCTCACAGCTTCGACCACAGCCCCACACACATCTCCGAACACCCACACACATCTCCGAACACCCACACCCCAAACGAGAACAGCAGCCTGGGTTCTAAATCCAGCTCTCTAATTTACCAAGTGTCATTACGAAAGTGACTTTGCCTTTCTATTGTTTGTCACCTATTACAGGGTGAGTAAAATGGAAAAAATGATTAAACTTCTAGAGCTAATATGAAGATTAAGTGCCACAAAATAACTGCAAAGTATCAGGTACCAAATATATAATCAATAAATTTGGCTGTTTTAGTTTTAGATGGCTACTTTCAGCCGGGCGCGGTAGCTCAAGCCTGTAATCCCAGCACTTTGGGAGGCCGAGGCGGGTGGATCACGAGGTCAAGAGATCGAGACCATCCTGGTCAACATGGTGAAACCCCGTCTCTACTAAAAATACAAAAAATTAGCTGGGCGTGGTGGCGCGTGCCTGTAATCCCAGCTACTCAGGAGGCTGAGGCAGGAGAATTGCCTGAACCCGGGAGGCGGAGGTTGTGATGAGCCGAGATCGCCCATTGCACTCCAGCCTGGGTAACAAGAGTGAAACTCCGTCTCAAAAAAAAAAAAAAAAAATGGCTACTTTCTGCTATTCTATTCTAAAGAAAATTAATTATCTTCACTGTTTGCCTAATGCAGTTCTGCCTGGGGCAGCTTTCTAAAGGATCAGATCACCAGAGTGCATTGTGAGAACAGGAAATATGGTTCGAACACGCCTTAAGAGCCGTTGATCTTTGAGGAAGTGAATAAAACCAGATATTTCACATCAGACAGGCCCAGATATTTCTCTAACACAAACAAGTGCCTTCATGCACAGCACCAGAAGGCACCTCATCTGGCAGAAAAATTACCCAATTATGCCCTGTCCAGGAAACCAATTCTGAAAAGATATCTACTGCTGTGGGCTAAAACAATAACACAGTGCGTAGCAACCGAACCACAGGCTGGATTTCACCCTTACCTACCCCTTCAGCCTGGTTGCTCTCAGCAGAACATAGCCTGTTCATTCTTGACTAGGGCCTTATCCTGCAAAGATCACACCCAAAGTACAAATCCAAATATTGCGTGAGGCCCGTGTGCTGCACCCTGATTTGCAGACCACAAACTATTTGCTTTTAAGCAGCTCATGGATGGATTAAAGAGACTGCCGGGGAAGAATTTCTTTCACAAAGAAAGATAATGTTTATTTGGTTTTTTTTCCAATTATAAAGGTTGCAGATGCACAATATGGCCTTTTATACAAAACCCTAAAGAACTAAAAAAGCACTCCCAATACCCCATTTCTAAGAATTAATAGCTGGTATATATAATAGTGGCATATATCTAGTGTTGTATTTCAACCAGGCTAGATCTTATCTCCATAAGCATTATTATCAATGGCGTCCAGATTTTAGAAGAAGGAGTTTGATGAAGTTTTCATATACGAATCAGGATTCAGTTCCTCTTTCTTGTTTTCCCTCTTTAAGACCTTGAAGGAAAAAGAGATAAAGACAGACCAGTTGAGATGCTGGTGATCCTACATATTTTCCTTCAATCACAGTGTCTCCTCCCCACGCACCATATCTCTTCCCCTCTTCCTTTCAAAATAATTCTTTTCTCACTCTCACCTATCTCCTTTAATAAATTCTTGACCTTTGAGTCATGCCTGTCTCTTTAATTGGGACTGTGAAATGAGATATTCACTCCTACCTAGCATGAGTACAAGTGGAAGCGCAGATGTCAGGGAACAACAGGACAGAGAAAGGAGGTGGTGCACCCAATCCCAAGGGTTGAGGGTAGGCTGCTCATCTGGAAAAGGAAGGATGGAGGCAAGAGGGATCAAGGGAGTCCTAGAGAGCGGCTCATGGAGGAGGACAGCTGCCTCCACGGACCAGCAGTGCTCAGTGTGACCTGACCTGGAAGATGATATCGGCCACCTGTGAGCGATGGCTTTAACTGTGATGAACTCATCAATGTGGCCAATTTTCTGTAGCATGAGGAAACCATTCCCAATGAAGTTAATCAGTATCAAATCACCTCACAGTAGCCATGAGATCAATGCCCTGACACAAGGTGCACAAGACCTAGGGAAAAACATATAAAGCTACTCTGAGGGCAATGAAAAAAGACCCAAGAGACATGTGCTCTTATTATGCCCATTTTAAATACACAGAATACTGAAAGCCACCTTAAGCCAAATAACATAGGACCATTTTTATAACTGTATGGAATAACCATGCCGTTTTTCTGGTACAATAGAATAATTTAAATCTAAATTGTGTGATTGAATAGAAGTTCAAGACATATTAATAAAAAACCAGAGTTACAGAAAAATATGTGTAATGTAATTTACTCTGAGAGAAGGAAGTACTCTTTGTATATACATAATGAAAGACGTAAAATCAGAAAGACTATGTACTGAAATGCAGCATAGAGGTTTCTGATAGTTAAAAGTTAATTATTTTTGCTTACGTAGCCTCTTTTCATAAATTTTTAAAGATATTATTTGAGTTATAATAAATGAAAGAAAGAATCAGTGATAGTGTTAAGGTCAGCTCTGTTTTTTTCCCACCTTATTCCATTTAAAGGTATGATTTTCATGGTGCACTGAGAGAAAAGTAAAAATGTAAGCCAAAAGAAAAATAAAATTAAACAAACATCTAATTATACCTGCTATGGAATAGAGAAGATAATAAGAGAACTTTAATTCTAGATAGGACCTCAAAATACATACTTGATAAATAAATGACTGATTTGGTTAAATAAAGCATTGTATGTAGTAGGGGAATTGTGAGACGTGCTTTCAAGGTTCTGTTAATCTTCGTCATTATATTGTAGCAGGGTGGGGGGTGGGAAGTATTGGGAAGAGGAAGAGGTACCGTAGTAAAGAAACTGCTGCTTGGTGTTGATGCAGACATCTGAGGAGTCTGGGGATGGCTCCCAGCTGGGCCTACGCTGGTCATGGAGGGTCCTGGAAACTGCCACGTTTCCTTATGCATCCTCCAGGGGTCATTTACTTTGGGGAATGGGTCTTCACTTTCCTAAAACAAAACAAAACAAAAAAATTAGATATTTGTTCTTTTTTTCTAGTTAATGTTCTTCAAGGTCAGATGAAACATATCTTTTCTTTTTTTTTTTCTTTTTTTCTTTTTTAAAGATGGGGTTTCACCATGTTGGTCAGGCTGGTCTCGAACTCCCGACCTCAGGTGATCCTCCCGCCTTGGCCTCCAAAGTGCTAGGATTACAGGCGTGAGCCACCACACCACGCCCGGCTTTTTAAAGTTGTTTTTTTTTTTTTTTTTTTTTTTTTTTGACGGAGTTTCCCTCTTGTTACCCAGGCTGGAGTGCAATGGCGCGATCTCGACTCACCGCAACCTCCGCCTCCGGGGTTCAGGTAATTCTCCTGCCTCAGCCTCCTGCCTCCACCTCGGCCTCCCAAAGTGCTGGGATTACAGGCTTGAGCCACCGCGCCCGGCATCTTTTTTCTTTTTTCTTTTTTTTTTTTGAGACGGAGTTTTGCTCTTGTTACCCAGGCTGGAGTGCAATGGCGCGATCTCGGCTCACCGCAACCTCCGCCTCCTGGGTTCAGGCAATTCTCCTGCCTCAGCCTCCTAAGTAGCTGGGATTACAGGCACGTGCCACCATGCCCAGCTAGTTTTCTGTATTTTTAGTAGAGATGGGGTTTCACCATGTTGACCGGGATGGTCTCGATCTCTCGACCTCGTGATCCGCCCGCCTCAGCCTCTCAAAGTGCTGGGATTACAGGCTTGAGCCACCGCGCCCGGCTATCTTTTCAATTTTAAACAGGATCTTCGCCCTGCCAGTTTTCTTTTCTCTTTCTTTTTTTTTTTTTTTTTTTTTTTTTTTTTCTGAATTGCAGAAGGAATAATAGCACATACTCAGATACCTGTATCACTCAGCCTTCTCTGATCCCAATCACGATTAAAAACTCAGATAATTGAAATTGCAGTGTTTTGGGATGAAATGCTCAGACTTCATGTCCTATAAAACTGGACTAAGTCACTTGGTCAGGTATAACTCTTAGGGTTATTTTTGGGGCCGAATGGCTTACAACAAAGTTGGCTACATTTATGGACATTTATTTACTAAGCCTTATTCATCAATTAGACACACAAACCAGTCTCTCTTATGTGCCCTTCAGTGTATAGGAAACCCAGATCTCTATCCCTTAGGGAGCTCTGATCATAGCCATAAACAGGAAGATTCTCTCAAATTCACAATTCCTCAGGCAAGATTCTATGATCTCTACAGTTTGGATCAGGCAATCAGCATCTTTCAGGGTTTGTAGCTGTACTCAGAACAATTTAATATTTTACCTAAAGTATTCCCGTTAGCTACATTTTTACATATTTTTTCAAGTAAGACTGAAGAATATCTCTAAAATTACATATCTTGACTATCTTCAATTAAACTAATGGAAGTCCAATAAATATTTATTCTATCTTGCCAATTTGGCACAGTTTTTACCAGTTTTGCCATTTGGTAACCTAATTTTTTAAGTGGGAAGTGTTAATAAAGAGATACACAAAAGAACTGCTTGCAGTGGCCTCTCAAGGAGAACAGCTTCTTGATTAGAACAGTCTGACCACCACTGAGCCCCTGGACTATGGAAATAAACCCCAAACACCACATTGTATATTCAAAATTGTTTAAAAATGAACTGCAGACATTTTAATATTTGCACACCTACTGTGGATTCAGTCTATGGTCATTAAAGGTTCACATTTTAAATGTTCACATGTTAAGTTAAATAAGGCTGCATTTGAATCCAGACGCTAATACTATCTGTGTGACCCTGAAGAAGATTTCTTTGCACCTCAGTTTTCTCACATGTAAAATGGGACTAGCCATGGCATTTTTATATGATGTTATAAAGAATAAATTAGGTAATGTACATAAAGATTGGGCTAGAGAGTCCAGAACTCAGTAAATTCTCAATAAAGAAACCTTCATTGCTATTATTTTCCCACGATGTGTTAGGGGTTTGCATGTTTGCTCCAATTAACAGATATTTCATGTTTTGTGATGCCCCTGTTGATGGAAACCTGGTATGGAGGCACAACAGGAAGCATAATGTAAGAGAAGTCCCTCTCTTCAGATCAGCCATGTGTGGCAATGTCATTTTATTGGCAAGATTGTCTTGAGATATCTTTTAAGAATAAGTGAAACCTTAAACTGTAATCACAATAGCCGGGCTTGGATGATGAAATTATACTAATTGTTTGAATAATTTTTTTTTTTTTTGAGACAGAGTTTCGCTCTTGTTACCCAGGCTGGAGTGCAATGGCGCGATCTCGGCTCACCGCAACCTCCGCCTCCTGGGTTCAGGCAATTCTACTGCCTCAGCCTGCTGAGTAACTGGGATTACAGGCACGAGCCACAGTGCCCAGATAACTTTTTGTATTTTTAGTAGAGACGGGGTTTCACCATGTTGACCAGGATGGTCTCGATCTCTCGACCTCATGATCCACCCGCCTCGGCCTCCCAAAGTGCTGGGATTACAGGCTTGAGCCACCGCGCCCGGCCTTGAATAATATTTTTAAAGTGCATGCATTTTTTTCCCTCAGAGTAAATCCTCCTCCACCCTACCCTGTTCATGAATTATGGCCCTTCTCTGCTGTTTGCTTCAGGATATGTAACAGCATAAATGAAAGGTAATTGTCTGTTTCTGGCTTGAAAGTAAAAAGTCAAAAAGAACCCTATTATAGAAAAACTATTTGAGAGAAACTGTGACGTAGAAGAGCAAGGATTTCCTGCTTACACAGAGAATCACAGACTGACTGGTCGGACACCATTTCTGCAGCCTCCTGTGAAGATGGCTGGATCCCAGAGGAGAAATGACTATATGGTGTGTTTAGGTGCATGAGTCTGCCTTGGATCCTGCGCTCTCAGAGCAGCAGAATGATTCCTCTGCACGTAGAAATGATTGTGCTGCACATTTAGGCAGGCAAGGTCTTAGGAAGTGTCACTTCCAAGCCAGTATGTCTGAACAGGGTAGTTGTCTTACGATGTCCATGTATGTCACTGCAGTAACAGACAGCGGGCCTGAGGTTTTAATGACTACCTATGGGCTCTACCTGTGGCCTTGATGGCAAATTCCAAGATGGTAACAGTTACGAGCAGCTAGCTTTGCCCACCAATAACCAGGAGAGATTATATAGGGGGAAATATGGATCCTTGGAATTAACTGAAAAAACAAGACTGTCTAAAAAACTGAGAAAATCAGGGCCGGACGCGGTGGCTCAAAGCTGTAATCCCAGCACTTTCGGAGGCCGAGGCGGGTGGATCATGAGGTCAAGAGATCGAGACCATCCTGGTCAATGTGGTGAAACCCCGCCTCTACTAAAAATACAAAAATTAGCTGGGCATGGTGGTGCGTGCCTGTAATCCCAGCTACTCAGGAGGCTGAGGCAGGAGAATTGCCTGAACCCAGGAGGCGGAGGCTGCAGTGAGCCGAGATCGTGCCATTGCACTCCAGCCTGGGTAACAAGAGCGAAACTACGTCTCAAAAAAACAAACAAACAAACAAACAAAAAAACTGAGAAACCTGTCCTCAACTCACATGTGTGGAATGATGCTTGGGTCCACAACTTGGGCCAGGGGCAGCTTGGGGCTTGGGAGAGAGACGACATTGGAGAACAGTAATGTAAATCTTAGTGTTTTGTATCCCTCGAGTTGCTGTGGGTCAGTATTTCCGTGCCCATTCGCCTTAGGTATAGGCCTCCTAGCCCTGGATTGCAGGTAATACAGGGGTGATATCAGAGCAGAACAAAAGGTGGGCTGGGGTAAGAGTTGACACACATACAAGTGTAAACTCACTTTCCTGCCCCTCTGTTGCCTTCCCTTAGGAAAGGGTACCTATAACCTAAATTGATTGCCGAGTAGGGAAGAAAGACATAGGTTTATTATAGCTATATAAATGCTATAAAGAAATAGAAAGGTACCTATGAAGACAATCAACGGGAAAATATAACCTCTTCTGGGAGGAAGAAATTAGTGAGAATTTGCTGAAAAAGTAGCTTAGATTGGGACCTCATGGTTGAAGATCTTTGGGAACAGAACTGATGGAAAAATTTGATATCAAAGGAAGTATCAAAACCCTTGATGTAGTTAAGAGCATGGATACTGAAACTAAACTCTGATGTATGGCAAGAGAGCCAACGAGAAAGGATTGGAAAAAAATGGACTGTAGAGGACGAACACATTTGTGTACTAGTCCTGGGGCACTTATCATTCAGGAAAAAACAGCAATTAATCCGACTCATGTTTCAAATCATTCTGGGTTGTTTATTTTAAGGGAGATATGGCAGAAGACATCAAATATAAAAATGTAATGCTTCTCATTTTTAAATCAAAACCAGGAATAACCCGTATCACCCACATGATTTGTGAGAGAACCTATTATGAGTACAAATAAAGCTTTCCTGCAGAGCTCCTGGATCCTATAGAAAGTATACCAGATATAGTATGCACCTCAATTAAAAAAAAAAAAAAGTAAGTAGACAGGTTTTGCCTCCTATGGGGCTAGCTGGACACCAGAGGGAAAACAGACAAACTTACTGTGGAAAACATAGGACCCTGGCTGGGACTCTTAAACTAAAGGAGGTTTAGGTACAGCAGAATAACTTCCATGGCTACAGAAATGGACATGTTGCTTATTTAGAAGGGTTGGACCTAAGAAAACATCCCATGTCCCTTTTAAGCCAGTATGTACAAGAAATCGGAATCTTCCGGGGATATTCACTCACGTCTTTGAAGTAGAAGGCAAAAAAATGGGGCTGAGCTATTAATGAGTAGGTATGGGCTCCATATATGATATTTTCAAAATCCCCCCCGCCCTTTTTTTTTTTTTTTTTTTTTTTTTTGAGACGGAGTTTCGCTCTTGTTACCCAGGCTGGAGTGCAATGGCGCGATCTCGGCTCACCGCAACCTCCGCCTCCTGGGTTCAGGCAATTCTCCTGCCTCAGCCTCCTGAGTAACTGGGATTACAGGCACGTGCCACCATGCCCAGCTAATTTTT